AAAAGAGACTCTAAGCTGCAGCCTTGTCCCTTGAGAACAGTGACCTCAGTTACCTTACGGTCCAGTGGGGAAACCAACAACACAAATGTCCCTGTTTACCGGAGCTGTCATAGTGATGGCCACTTTTGTTTTCCGATAGGGGACCAGGCGGTGTACTCCATTAGGTACCTGAGGAAATCCTGAGGGGCATTCCTGTTGTTTAAATTAATTATTTAACTCATGCCTATTTTCCACCTACCCAGTGTCGCAGTGACCTTGAGTCATGCCTGCTGGCACACATGGCACCACTGAAAAGTCTCCACGGTCAGACACTGCAGACAAAAGCTCACCCTCTCACGGCTGTGTCTGGTTTTACACAGAATAGTGAAGTCTGTGAATTAAGTGTATTAGTTAGAATACTATCGTCGGGGATTTAGGGAATTTGGGTCAGGTTTTATACCTACCCTACTACCTCTCGCTGGCCCTCCGCTCAATCCTTTAATCTCCTGGCTTCTTACTCTGTCTGTAAGAGAGACGCCTCTGGCAAGGCTCTGAGTGCAGTAGCCGTAGGAATAAATTAAATAATGGACTTAATATCACCACCGAGAATGGAGCAAATTGCTCTTTTGTGGGATCCATTAGCTTGACTGAGAATATTAGCACAGGATTCTGAGTGTATGATTGATGTTAGGAGTAAGATAGCATCCATTTTCATTCTGGGCTTTGCCCTGAAATGACTCAGGGTAACAGATAAAGAATATGAGGTGGGGAGAACTGGGAAAGGGGGGGAAGGTATTGGCCAAGAAGGAGTCAGGTGTGGAGAGAGCAGAAATAGGAAGGCAGAGGAGGAGAAAGAGGAGACAGCTGTCGGGGTGAGTGTAGAGGCAACCCCGAAATCGAGGTTGCTAAGTGAGAGAACTGGGGTGGGGGGTATGTCGAACAAAGACTCCAATCAGACCAGGGCTCACTGGAACCCTGAGGGAAGGAAGAGTGGATGGGGACAGACAGGCAGGGTTTATTTCCCAAGTTATCCCTGTCATTCTTTCAGTGGCTTTTTCAGTCTGTCACGACCCCCCCCCCCCCCNCCCCCCCCCCCCCCCCGCCCCCATGAATCTCAATCCTAGGCTCAGGAAGGTGGCTTTAATAGCCCGAGGCAGTCAACTTTCCCCAGCTGAGCCGTAGGACACTAGATAGAGACTGGTCTCTAGGTGCCTCCCAGTGCTGGGTAGCAGCACAAGGAAGTGGGGGAGAACGTACTGTAGATATTTCAGCCACACTCGGTCCTCACAACTCCTCAAACTTTGCCCTCTCTGGACAACGGAGCATTCTATCACCTTTGTGGATACATCTCAGATGAAAATAACAGTGGCATTCACAGCCTACATCACTGCCTGTGCGAGGCACAGATGCCGTGTAGTTTTTATAGAAGGAGTTTGAGGCGGTGCACAGTGGGAGCCATGCATGGGGGGTAGAGGATGATACCTGGCCAAGGAAACTGTAGCAAAACTGACACAGCCATGTACAGTTTTACAGAAATTAAGTCACTTGATTTTTTTTTCACAACGCTCTGACATTGTTGCTTTTAGTTACTCTCATTTTAGAAAAGGAAATCGGACAAACTGAGATTTGATTCATATCTTCGGTCTGGTTTCAGTGTGAGAACAAAACAAAACTGTAGGAGACCAGTTCTAAGCCTTTCACCAGAAGTGTGTGTGGGCGAGTCTGTGTGTGTGCGCTCGCCTTCAGGCGCGTGTGCACGCATTTGTTCTGCTTGTATAAAATATTGGCTCAAAATGCTGGATTGAGTACTATAGTGATATTTTATTTGTGTTTTAGTGAATAAAACTTGCCTAAAAATCAGAAGGACAAAGAGAAGCCACTAGAGGTCAGGCAGTGGTGGCAAAAACCTTTAGTCCCAGGATTTGGGAGACAGAGGCAGGTGGGTCTCTGAGTTCAAGGCCACCCTGGGCTACACAAGATTCAACGCAAAAACAAATCCAGGTGCATTTGTTTACATTTTTAATCCTGGTACTAGGGAGTCATACACCTTTAATCCCAGCATGAGAGGGAATATAAAATGAAAGGAGAGACTTAGTCTGCTTAGTCTGAGATTGCCCAGCCTTGGTAGAGGTAAGACTTCTCTAGTGGCTTGTCTGCTTTGCTTTTCTGGTTTTGGGGTTGGACTCCAATATCTGTCTCTAGGTTTTTATTATTCATGCTACAGAGTACCTCTTAACTTAGACTTTTATGTATTATGTATACAGAACCCCTTTGACAGGGTTCCTTACAGATTTGGCCCAGGAATAACTTTCTCTTAAATGACATTATGATTTCTTCCACTCAACAAGGAGAGTTATGATATGAGAATTATGAAAATTCCCACTTCCCCTACTTCACGGTTATGGGGAAACTTGGGGTTTAGTTTCATGCTCATATGCTATTATTTGCCTGAACCAGGTGCTTATTATTATTATTACACTTCTTAATTTTTTTTCCTATGTAAGCCACTTTAAGTCCTTTCTGGAAGAAAGCACAGTCTAAACAGTAAAAGGACAACAAAATGCGATGCCATTAGGGCCATGCTAGAGAGGTGATGACCTACCACAGTGTGTTATGTGACACCCCTGGATCCCTTTATCTGAAAGGGAATATATTAGAAACAGGGTTCTGGGAAAAGCCTCTCTTACATGGTGTTTATCACTTTTTTTTTTCATGTCCCTTAAATAGCATTCCAAACCACTTTGGGGACAGAATATCAAATCTGGAGCGAATGAGCTGATTACTCTCATATGTCTTCTTACTGGGATCTAATTAAAGTTTTGAATCTTGTCCAAAACTGTGCTCTAAAATAAACCAATTTAAATCCACATTTATCAGTCAGGCTTACAATGGGGAATGGTTTCACCCATTTTGCTCATTCACCAGTGAAGAACTGTGCTTAATTTGTAGATTCTTATCTGGTTCCAACATTTCTTCCAGGAATACAGCATCCTTTATCTTGCGGATTGACAAACACTATCCACATTAGGTCATTCATCAAGAGACGCCTTCTGAAAGGCCAAGACGCTGTGATTCAATAACAAAACCCCCCAGCGTCTCAATTTTGCTGCTCAATTTTGCAAAGAACAAAGCCTTCCAGACCCAGGATGGTCATTAGGGGGATGCAATGCTTTTAAGGAAATTCCTATAGAGAAGAGAGGAGGAGTGGGGAGCGGGGAGGGGAAAGGGAGGAAGAGGAATGGGCAGAAGAGTAGGAGTCTCAAACAAAGTCATTAAATAAGAGGGATTTCAGCGAGTCTTTACACTTCAGTATCTCACTACCTCATTTCTATCCAATCTCAGTTTGCCATATAACCTGCGCTTTTACTTCTAATTATGTGATGTATCTCTGTTTCACTATTTACTTGACAGACGTTTATGAAGATGCATCAGGCCCTTTGTAGCATACAATTTAAATAGCAAACATATAGCATCTCACGAAAGTGCAAATGGTAGATATTATACGGAGTGGTATTTATAAACCAACTGGCTCCTGGAAAGGTCTGTAAAAATGGTGCCTATGTATGGCACTCACGATTGAGTTGTGATTCCTTTAAGAACCCATACTGGCTAATTCACATTTTTGTGCAACACATAGAAAAGAATTTACTCCGACCATTGCTGATTGCAGAATCTTATCAAATGCCCCCAAATGAGTAATGGATTGGTCATATCTAAAATTGCTAACGCATTTCTAAAGCAGTTGCTTTACAGCAAATACTATCTACTACTTTGTGTAAACATAAAACCTGTGATCTCTCACGGAGAAGTGTGCACACTGCAGCTCTCCCAACCATTCCTCGGTACAATGCAGGTACTATGGTATTCCTGCCAAGCTGTGACAAATTCCCAAGTTCTTACCCGTGAAATGGGCACACAAGGCAGGTTTTTCTGTGGTGCACGAGCTTCTGGGTAGCTCTTATTCACACCTACACAAGAAAACTTTGGCAATGTGTTTATGTGATCATGTGGGTTTTTTAATTTTTTTTTTTAAATTTTTGTACAATTTGTTAAGAGTAAGATAGTTTAACCACTATGGGCTGAACAGAGGTCTCCTTCCAGCTGGATGGCCACCGGGTGCTAAGGGTTGCTGGAGCAGGTTGGATGTGCTGATTTGTTTGGTTTTTCTCCCTTAAGAGGACCACCCAAACTGCACACATTTCAGGCCCCGGGAAAAACTGCATCCGCCCTTACAAGTGGGAACAGAACCCAGTTCACAGGTGTGTTGTGAGGGTTAAATAGCGAATACATGCAGAGAAAGCGAGGCCACGGGGTCAGCATTTTATGTAAGGTAAAGAGCATAAGTCTGTCATGTTGTCTGGATTTTAATTTTTTTTTTTCCGTGGAAAAGGATTCCGCAGTCCTGGGCAACAAAGGATTTGCCATAAATTTCATGGGCTCTGGCTATCTTTGAGTCTCTTTAGTTATTCCAGATTTAGATGCTTGTATTTTGTGTGCCTTAAATACAAAGAGAGAATATACATCAATTCTATATTAAAACCCTTAAATCTATTTTCTCTTCTGACTTCAAAACAAATGAAAATACCTTTGCTGGGCCCTAGAAGTTCTGTGCGCTGTGTCTAATAGAAAAGACAGGATTTGCCAATGTGAGTACTAAGTTTCTCAAGCCGTGGGAAAGAATAAGGATAAAGAAAAGCAACTGTGGTACAACTTAAATGTGGGGGGTGGGGGGGTAGTACAGACTAGAAATAGGCATATGGACAGCAGGAGGCAGTTCGTGTTCGAATTACACAATTTAATGGAGGTGGCCACTAGGACACTCTTAGTGATCGTCTTCTGGAAGACAGTATTGTTTAAGGAATTTATTTTCCACGCAGTGTATTTTTCAGGGGTTTTCTTGCCCATTTGAGAGTTAAATTATAAACAGGGAATATTTACTTTAGAAAATAAACTTCATCCTGCCAATTTGCAAATTGCTCTAGATTCTAGAGTCTAGAATTTCAGGCAAAGGTCTCTCACAAAGTCCTTGGCCTTGGTGCATCAGATAAGTCACGGAGGAAAACAAACTCCCCTTGAAAGGTGTGTCTGCAGAGCCTTGTGACAGCGTGCCAGTGGCTCCTGTCCGGCACATTTCGGAACTTTGCAAAAATTAATTGTGCTAAAGAGAACACCATCAAACGCATCCGGCACAGAGCGTAAACATCTTCAAACCACGATTCTGCGCTACAAAACCCTCTCCAACTAATTTCATTTAGTGCTTTACTCTGGAGGAACACCGAGGCCAAGTGAAACTGCGGAAATAGGAACAATGCACGGAGGAAAAATCTCACCCCATTAAGGGATCCGTTTCTTCTCTGCACAAATAAGCCCACCACGCCTCGGAGGCAAGACTAGATGGCTCCAGGATGTTCTCAGAATGCCCCCGCGGGCCCTCAGGAGCTGAGAGATCCCGCACCAAGAAGGAAGAGGACCTGAACGGCAGCGCCTTGGCCCTCGGGCAGTTTAGGTAATACACAAAATTATAAAAAGAAATCTAACCAACAGACGTGCCTAAGACAGAGGCTGGTGTCCATGTACATTTTCGGGGCGACCCCGGTTTCCTCCTCCATGCAAGGTTTGCAAAGCGCAGTGACAGCCGTACGGGAGCTGCGCTGGTTCCCGCAGGGCCGCCTGGTTTCCACGGGCCTTTCCAGAGGCTTTGCACCGGCAGGGCCGCAGCGCTCTCACCCGTGGCTCGGTGACCTTGCAAGGCTTGCGGCGCGACCCGAGTCTCAGCAGAGGCACCACCCTGGGCGCTGGGCCCGCGCGCGACCGAGCGGCTCCGACTCACGCGCGCCCTCTCGGGCCTGCGCCCGGTGCGCGCGGCAGGGCCGGCGAGGGGAGGGGGGGTACGGGCGCGCGGGGCGGGGCCTGGGCGGGGCCTGGGTGCTGCGCCCCCCGCCAAGCTTTTCGCTGGCGCCGCCCCCGGGCGCGCAGTCCGCGCCGGAGCGTCTCGGCTGTGGCCGCGGCCGTTATCGTCGCCTGGCGCTGCGGTGGCTCTCGGGGTTCTGGGAGGGCAGCGGCGGCCCGTCGTCGGTGGCCTCTGGAGCCGGCCTGCGAGGGGACAGGGAGGCCGGAAAGGTGGCTGTCTTCGGCCGGCTCCTTCGCGATTGCAGTCCCGGGTTGCAGGGTCCGTGCTGCCCCGGGGCGGCGGCCGGCTGGGATGGCAAGATAGCGGCGCGGGAGCGGCGGGTGAGTGCGGGGGCGCGGCGCGGCAGCCTGGAGCGCGTGCGGGGGGGGGGGCGCGTCCCCGGCTCTGGGGCAGCCCTGATCGGGCTCGCGCCGTCCGTGCCAGCCGAGGGTCAACCGTGCTGCCCGCGTGGGCGCGGACTGCACCGCGCCGAACTTGTGCGGCGCGAAGGGCGGTGAGTTCCAAGGCCAGAGGTGACCTGGTGGGGGACGGGAAGGACCTTTAATTCCCCATCTGGAACTGGGACCTGCCAGATGATTTCTTGCCTCTGTGCCTCCGCAAAGTAGTTCCTCGTCTTGTTTTTATGGTGCATTTGACTGACCTGTCTGTATTTCTAGGTGCTTGTGTCCGAAGGCGCTAAACTTCCTAAACCCCTAGTTAAAGTGTAGGCGAGCGACGTTAGGCTTCGTGATTGGTGGCATTCCTGATGTGTTCCCTAAAAGCACAGATCGTGAATTCAGACGCGTAGAAAACTGCACAGAATGTGTTGTGAACTTACATGAGAGCCTGAGTAGTGTGATTCCGGCTCCGTCTTCAGCTGCCACAAGTCTTTCATTTACACTTGGCTTATCTTTGTGTCCATTTTTGTATGTGTGCTTAAAGCAGTGAGATATTGACAGGACATGTGTGCCTTTATTGACTGACATTTACATAGAAATACATTCTTTGCATTTACTTTGTGTTTCCTTAAATACGGTGTTTTTTTTTTCCCAGCAAAGCTTTCAGTTTAAAGTTTGTCATTCAATTCGTCTTCAGTTGCATATTTAATTCAGCAAAATTGCTTAGAGTCAGGTTGATATGACTATTTAGTCAAAGGTTCAAAAGTGCTGCCCAGGTCGCGCGGTGGTGGCAGTGGTGCAATCTTTAACCCCAGCACTTGGGAGGCAGAGGCAGGTGGATCTCAGTGAGTTTGAGACCAGCCTGTCTACAAAGAGAGGTCCAGGACAGCCAGGATTGTTACACAGAGAAACCCTGTATCAAAAAACAATCCCTCCCCCCCCCCCAGCAAAAGTGGTGCCCACATTATATTTCAAGCAACCTTCCCCCACCATGAAAAACTAAAGCATTTGTTTTTTGCAACTGATGCTCTCCCCTCTCCTTACACGATTATTTTGATGCGGACCTGAAGTCATACTGCACTAGAAGCAGAAGCTTCTAGTTTAAGCCTTTCCAAGGAAAGCCGACTCAGCATAGCCCATGCTTTTAAAAACACTACATTGTTCTCTTTGTTCCTTTCTGTCTTACATCCAGGTGGAAACTGTGTCCCTTTGGAGGCTTCTCTGGAGAGCTTTAAGCTCAGTTTAAGTAGGAGGCATATTTTCAAGGAGGCCTGGGCAGCTGCTGGCTCTGCCAGAGTTGAACGGAGGTGTATTTGCTTTGTACTAGGTGAGCTCACAAGGCTCTCGGCGCTAATTAAGTGGATCCTTGGATTCTCTTCTGGGAAATGAGAACTGGGCACTGTGCTATTAAACCAAGTGAAACTTTGCTGAGTTTTTTAAAAGAAACTTTTGGTTCTGAAGACTCATTCTTGGGGGCATTGTTAGTAGTAGTATAGAAGATGTCATATTCATTGGGGGATGTCTCTTCATATTGAGAAGACTCAATAGTTACAGAAAGTTCAGAATAAAAAGCGCACCTCTACCCCGCCACGCCCCCACAGCATCAGTAAGAACCAGGCTTCCAGACGCTTGCCTTTCCTCTCGGAATATAGCCCAGTGCTCTGCAAACATTTTGCTCCTTTGTCTTCTGACTGACTGGGATACATTGTATGCCCTGTTCTGTGCCAGCTTCTTAGCCTCCCCCTGCGGAGTCCAACATCCTGACCCTTGCCATCAGTCCCGGAAGAAAAGCCGCCTCACTCTCTCAGCAGCTGAGAACTCCATTAAGGACAAACCGTAACTCACTTCAGTTTCTCTTTCGTGATAGGTATATACATTCTTTCTGATACCTTGCTGTGAAATTATTGTAAAATACTTTTTTTTTTAGGCTTTTAAGTGGATTTTAGTTATTCCCAGGGCCCAAAGACAGCAGTGAGTTGCTTCTTCCCTTTGCAGGAAGTGGATGCTTGCTCTGCCCAGTGCATATCCTTTGCTTTTATGACTCCAGAGTGACCCACAGGGATTTGTGGCATCTTCGCTGTGAAAAGAGAGCTTTGATGGGTAGGACCTAAAGTCATTCCCTTAATGACAGTGTGGGCCTTGTTTCAACAACAGAAAGGAACAAATGTGTAATTATAAGAATAATGTACCAAGGCAGGTGTGGTACCTTTAATCCCAGCATTCAGCAGGCAGGGGCAGATGGACCTCTGCGAGTTCTAGGCTAGCCTAGGCCACAGAGTTCCAAGTCAGGGCTATATAATGAGACCCTGTTTTTTTTTTTTTTTCTTCTTCAATCTTAAGAGTTTAAATGATTTAGAATATGCATTGAATGCTCATGCCTTTTATTAAATCGACAGAATGGTTTTATGTTTCAGAAAGTTTGCTCGCCACTAAGTTAAAACCTGTGCTTTCTGTGGTAGATCACGCCGTCTTCTACGTCAGTGTGAATAAACTGCTTTCACACCTTTATAGGCTGGGAAAGGATTACTGCCAACTCTTAGGGGAAGGATGCTTTTGAAAATATTTGTCCTTGGCATCTCTTGAGGGATTTTTTTTGAAGCAGAATGAACTGTCGAGCTTAGGTGGTGCTAATGCTGGCGCTGGAGCCTGCCGCATTGAGTAGCCTGATGTGATCATAGGTGGAGGCTGTAGATTTTTGTTGTTGTTGTTGTTTTGTTTTGTTTTTTTTTTTTTTTTTTCTTCCAGAAGCTGTGAGGATCCTTTCAAAATGTAATTGAAACCCAATTGGCTCTGTTAGTATTTAGGGTGTGGCTTTTTTTCCTTTGTTATTTGGGAGCTAACATTGTGGTGCCAATACAAAAGTGTTACTACTGTCCATATTTGTTCTTCTTAAACGGGTGTTCATATACCTTCTGTTAATATTCCGGGCAGTTTTCAGGGTACTGAGATTCAGTTGTGTGCAGGTTAAACACCTGGCTATCATGAGTTTCCATCTGGATTGTGGAGATGAGTTAAAATCGGGGACCAGTGAAGACGATGCCAGGTAGTGGCAAGGACTGATGGACTAGCATGGCTGAGCTGGGTGAGGATGCAGCCTGAGGGGCGGGGGCCAGAGGATCCTCATTGGAGTAGGAAGGTTGGAGCTGAGCACTGAATTCTCAGGAGAGGCAGCCGGGATTTTGGTGAATGGGGAGGTGTAGCTCAGGCAGGGGGCACCTAGGCGACCTAGGGCCACCATGGTGCTGTTCTGGGGGTCAGGGAGGAGGGGAGTTTTCCAGGATGTGCTGAGCTTGGTGTGCTGCCTCTGTTTAGAGCTGTGTGGGAGAGTCCTCCATGGGCTGGTGGCGTTAGGAGTTCAGGGCTAGGTCTTGCTGATTCCTGTTGCACGTGCAGCTGAGACACCACCTACTCTGGGCTTTATTTGTTGAATAACTGAACAGGTAGATAAAGATATTAAAAAATAATCTTGCCTGGTTTTTGGTCAAGATTATATTCATTATTATTATTATTATTATTATTATTATTATTATAGTTGATATAAGTATATAAATGTTACCATAATTTGTATTATATACACACACATATGTATAACTTGATACACATGTGTAATATGAAGAAGGAAAAGAGACAGGGTTTCTCTGTGTTCGAGGTTCAAGGCTGGCCTTGAACTCATAGAGATCTACTTGCCTCTGCCTCTCAGGTGCTGGGATCAAAGGCATGCGCCACCACCATCCAGCACTGGTCAGAATTCTTAGTCAGGAAGGAGTCTTTATCTGAGCTCTCCACCTTGGTTCTGACCCTTGACCTACCACGTCTGTTACAGTTCACACACTCTCAAACTGTTGCCTTAAGCCAGTTGCTTCTCATTCTTCTGCCACGAAATCCGAGTCGGAAATGCTAAAAACAAAACAAAACAAGGCCCTTTTTAGTAAACCGTAGTGATTTCCGAGAGAGATTGAGCCCGAATTTTCACTGTTGACCCCAGTGAGATGCCATTTGCACGGGGGGTAAGAGTTTCTGGCGCCTGTTCCTGTGTGGCTGTTTAGGTTCTCCGGGCGTGCGGATGGCTAATGAGCTGTTCAGAAGTGTGTGTTTCACTCAGGTACTTTATTCTCACCGGAGGAATGTGTGTGTGCCTGCTCTATTTTGGGAAATAGCAGGAACTTGTGGTATTTCCTCTTCCCAACTCCTAATCTGTTTGTCATTCTAAATATATGT